CCCTAGGCAGGCAGTGGCGGAGGGGATCTCCCCTGCTCTGTGCCCTGACCTGGGAATGTCAGACCCCCCCCCCTCCATGCCAGGAGCCTGCCAGGCAGAGCTGGGCAGGCCCTTGGCCAGTAGCGCTGGTGGTTTTTGGAGAAAGCAACCCCATTGGCCCCTCCCGGCTCCCCCAGGCCTGGGCGGCCCCCCCAGTTCTGCCACTGCCCCTCTGCCTCCCCTCTTGCAGCCCTGAGTGTCCTCCGTGGCCCCCAGACCCCCTCCTGACCCCTGGGGAGGGGGCTGCTGGCTGAGCGGGGCCTGGGGAGGCTGCCTGGGGAGGGAGCGAGGCCTGGGGGCCAGGGCTGGCCAGGAGCCGGGGGCCTGGCAGGGCGGGGGCAGAGCCTCTGGCTCCGGTGACCCGGGTGCCTCCTTTCCAGGAACCGCTGGGCCCACGGGGCTTGGCAGCGCTGGGAAACGAGCATCCTGGTCCAGCCAAGCCCAGCTGCTCCTCGGCTGGGGACAGAGCAGTCGGGAGGGGGGTCTGCACCGGGATGCAGCAGCTCGGAGGGCAGGGCTGTGGGCACAGCTGCCCTCGGGGTGGAGCCGGGGGGCAGTCGAGCCAGAAGGACCAGGGGAGCCTATCCTGGGGCCTCATGCGGCCTCCCCCAGCCCAGAGACCCCCTCCATCGCCGGGGGCTCCTAATTCACAGCCTGTCCCCTACAGTGGCTGCCTGGGCACCTCCTAGCTGGGCCTCGCTGCACCCTGGCTCTGCCAACACCCGGCCACAACTGCCATGCAGCTGAGACCCCCCCACAACTCATCTCAGGGAAGACCCCCCCCTTCCTCCAGCCAGAGTACTCCCCACCCCCTGCAGCACATCTGGGCCCCAGGCGCAGGCCTTGCATCTGGCAGCCAGAGGGTTAAACCTTGCGAGGGGTGTGGGGGGGTCTCCCTCGGAGAAGTGGCGCGGGGGGGCAGCGCCTGCGCGGCGTCTGCTGCGGCTGAACTGCCGTGAACCCCCTCGGTGTGTGGGCGCGAGGCGCTGGCTGACGGGAGCCAGGCTGCGCAGCTCCAACCTGCTGGGCCCAGGCACGGCGCCGAGGCACATGGCTCCGCGCGGCTGCCGGCGTGGGCTGCGTTCCCACCGCCTCCGTGGCCTGCCGGGGCGGGGGGAGGAGGGACCCCCCCAGCAATCAGCGCCCCCCCCCCCCCCATTTCCCGCAGGGTGCTGAGTGCCGAGGTGCAGGCATAGCCCAAGGGGCTTGGAAAACACCCTCCTTCCTCCCCTGGTCCATATAACGCTGTAGGGCCCGGCATGTGGGATCCCCGAGACCCCAGGTGTGGCCAGATCTGCCCACCCCGCTCCCCGTGCTGCACACACGCAGG